TGAAAGCTTAGTAGGTGCACACAGACTGGGGCAAGGACCTCCCAGGGCACCCGAGGGACTTGGTGGGGCTCACCACTCCATTCTGAAGCTCAAGAGCTTTAGGCATGAACTCAAAGCGTGTCATTTCTCATTTCTAGCACATCTGCCATCTGGCCCGGCAGGGACCAGCCTGAGGAAGTGAGCAGGGAAGCAAGGTCCTGGCTAGAGGAGCTCTCCTCTACCTAACCACACACCTTCCAGGGGTCCACGGGCCACCCCCTGGGGCTCCACACCACTCCTCTCCACAGCCCCTCCAGCTCTGACAGCGGGACCCTCCTCCGGAGCCCCGGCCGCCAGCACAACCAGCCAACCTGTTTCCTCAGGATTGCACAACCGGGAATTGACCTGTGGATGAAGAAAACCACCGGTGTCCCGTAAATTCTTCTTTGCAGGTCCCTAGGGGCCATGACCCGGGGAGACTTTTCCGGGCACCAAGTCTGGTTTTTCTTCTTTTCTTCTCGTGGGCCCAGCAGGGAGGGCTCAGTATAAATACCAGCCACCTCTCCCCAGCAGGCAGGGACCAGCAGCTCTGCTCCACCAGAACTCAGGTGAGGGGCTACTCCAAGGTGGGACTGGATGGAAGAACAGACTCTCCTTTCTCTTTCCCAACAGGATGTAGATCCCCTGAAAAATAATAATTCTGCTTTGTATTTGTCCCGTATGAGGTCTGTGCTTGCAGAGTGGCACACGGTAGACCCTGTGGATGATAAGGTTTTTGGTTGATGACAGGCTGTTCTAGCTGGGACAAGTTGGTCTTATCTATCCTGTTGCCCCATCACTGCCACCTTGAGGATCTCTTAGCCAGCCCTGGGGTCCGGGCTGAAGGGTTCAGCACTGGGGGCTGTGGTTCTGAGTGAGGACCTACTGCAGTGTTCCCTGTGTGAGCCCGGAGAGTCTACTGAGAACAAAAGGAATGGGCAGCAGGCTCCGTGTGACCTGCAAATCCCCGAGGTGGGTGTGAGTCCTGTCCTTGCCCCCCTGACCCTCTCCTTCCTTCATTTCAGCACCATGAAGCTTTTCACGGGCCTCATCTTCTGCTCCTTGGTCCTGGGGGTCAGCAGCCAATGGTATTCATTCATCGGTGAGGCTGCTCAAGGTAAGGTCCTGGACGGGGGCGGCATCCACGGGCCACTTGGATTTGCCCTGAGCACTTGCAAGGGTTCAGCTACTGCGTTAGGTGTGTTGCCCTATGTGGTAGAATGTGCCTGGTGTTTGGGGAGCTCTTCATGAAACAGATCGAAAGGCACAGGGTTTGTGTCCATCCATTACTAGAGAAGGAGCCATCATCATTCCCAGCTGAAGGGTCAGTTTGACTAGAAGACACAAAATGAGTCTTGAAATGGCACCGAATTTCCTGTAGACAAAAGGCACAGTGTCTGATTAAAGCTGTCCCTCCTTCTTCTCCTTTCCCTCCCTCCCTTCAGTCAGCCCTTCCTCCCGTTCTTCCTCCCTCTCTCCCTTCCACCCTTCCTGCCATTTCCTGATTGACTAATTTACAGACACCTCCAGCGTGGCTCTCCCTGGTGCTTCCTCTTGTCAGTGATGCTGTCCCTGGGAGATCTGTTTCCTCCCCTTTCCTGGCCCTCAACGGGAACAAAAAAAGAAAGGGGAGGGGAGACTAACAACCATGTATCAAGCCTGCACTAGGCACTCAGCACCTTCATGCAATGGGCAGTGACCAGCTATGCAGGTCTGCCTGGGGCTGAGGGTTTGGCCTGACCCCGTCAGTGCGAACTGGGAGGCTTCTGGGCCAACAGGGACACTTCTGCTTGAGCTGGGACAGGTGCTCTCTGACTCTGACTTCAGGACCCCTTGGTGAGGAAGTCATCTTCCCCACAGGAAAGGGAGGGAGCTGAGGCTTAGAGCAGCTGAGTCCCAGGTCAGGGACTGCCATCCAGGCAGCAGGTGGCAAAGAGGCTAGAACCCAGCTGCACAGGAGGTCAGAGCTCTGGCCAGGTAGATGTGTCTGAGTGTCACTTCCCAAAGCTGGGGGGCTCTCAATCTGCAATGGTGTTGGACTCACCGGGGGAGCATCTCAGTCCCCTGATGCCTGAGATCCACCCCTGAGAGGCTCAGGAATCCGGGGGGGGGGGTGTGACCTGGCCACCAGGACGTTCAGAGGCCCCCAGTGATTAGAATTGAGCAGCCAAGGATGGCTGAGGGCCGGGGCTCTAGCGCGTGCTTCCTCAAGCTGTCCCCGTCATTTGAACGGTCTATTCAGAGATGTCAGGATGCCGTTTATGCCCTAACACTCAGAGGGACTCGGGTCACAGTCATGTGCCTTCGCTCTGCAAGAACGGATTTGCTAGGCCTCGGGGCAGAGGCGCTGTGCTCCTGGGCCTTTCTCAGAATCGGACTTCCCTGTCCCCCGGACCTCACCATCTGTGCTTCATTCTCCACCAGTGCTTCCCGGCCAAGGGCAATCTTGTGCCTGGGGACTCGTGGCAATGCCTGGAAACATTTCTGGTTGTGAGCCTCAGGGCATACATTGCCCACATCTAGCGGGAGAGGTCAGGGAGGCTGTTACGCATCCTACAGTCTCAGAACAGGCTTGAGCAACAGAGAATTATCTGGCCCCAAATCTCAGTGGTGCTGTGGTTGAGAAAGGCTGTTTGATAACACCTCCTTCCTCCTCTTGAGCAGCTCACATAATGCCCTCGGTGGATGGAGCACGGAGATAGCATAGGGACAGACACACAGGTGCAGCCTGGCTGTGTCCCGCCCCCAGCACCCTCACTAGGGATGCCTGGAGAAGTTCTCAGCCTCAGGTGCCCAAGGGTGCTTAGAGCACAGGCAGAAATCTCGAGTCGGTGGGAGATCGGCCCTTCCTTGATTCTTCCCTATGGTTTGCCACAGGCTCTCTGTCCACCTGATATCCCTGTTGCCTTGTCCTTCTCTCGCAGGGGCTTGGGACATGTACAGAGCCTACTCTGACATGAAAGAAGCCAATTACAAAAATTCGGACAAATACTTCCATGCCCGCGGGAACTATGATGCTGCACAAAGGGGTCCTGGGGGGGCCTGGGCCGCTAAAGTCATCAGGTAACAAGGGCCCGGGGGATGCAGGGATGGCCTGGCTGAGCATGGCGGCCTTAGAGAGCCAGGAGGGGCCAACCCTAGAGAAGCTTCCTGCAGAGACGGCGGCTCCTGGTCCTCTTGCCCACCGTCCCCTCTGTGCCCAGTGTGGGGTCTGAGTGGCTGGCAGAGCCAGAGCAAGGCCAGTGGGAATGGGGGACTCCCACCCTCCTGCTGTGGGCACGGGGACCAGCCTGGGCTGACCTGGGCTGTGCGTGGAGCATGGTCCGTGTTTCAGCCCCTCTGGCCTGGGCTCCTCTCAGCCATCCCTCAGAAAGAGAAGGGATTGGTGGGGGCAGGGGCCTGTTGCTCAGCAGCCCCTAATGAATCTCTACCTGCCTTCCTCCATTCCAGTGACGCCAGAGAGCGTTCTCAGAGAGTCACAGACGTTTTCAAGTATGGAGACAGCGGCCATGGAGTGGAGGACTCGAAGGCTGACCAGGCTGCCAACGAATGGGGCCGGAGTGGCAAAGACCCCAACCACTTCCGACCCCCTGGCCTGCCTAGCAAGTACTGAGCTTCCCCTTGGCTCTGCCCTGGG